TCATTTCCCCCTTCCATCATTTTCAAGAGATCCTGATCTTGCGACGTGCTCCCCCCTCCCTACACACTCGACTCCCTCCCTGGCAAACCACCATGCAACCACCCACCCCCAAGTTCAAATTAAGAATTTATTTTAACCAGTGAGCAGCTTCTGTCGACACGTGTCGGCGGGCCTGATCAAAGGTGAGCGCACTTCTTTATCAGAGTGAGAGAGGCTGTCAGAAATGGGAGGACATTAAGATTGAATAACCTTCACAGGCTTGCCGGTACCTCATTATTTAAAAATCTAAAACTTCTGCTGAGCACCCAACATATATAGGTCACGCCACATTCTAATGCCACATGCCTCTGAGTCTACCATCCTCTGTGTGGATGGGATTTAGGGGGTTATTCGTCACATCCACTTATTCTACCCATCATTAAAGAACATCATCCGGGCGATGAAGCTGCGAACTTGCATAATTCTTAGCAATTTTTAGGAATATATTTAAAGGGAAAGACTATAATTTTGAGCTCGAGGGGGGTTCTTGTACTTGGTGTGTGAGTTTTTCTCTCCCCAAGTCTTCCTACTTTAATTATAGGTGATTAAATCAATGCACTAGAAACTTAAAAGCATAGAACAAAACCTGTTTATCTAAATGCTTTGAGCGTGTCAAAATCCCAGGTTTCAAGCGACATGCCTATCTTGCCATTTAGCAAAAACAAAACAATTGTAGTATATTAATAAAAAATTTATGATGCACGGTAAGCTGAGATGAAAGTGATACAGGTGTCAAACAATTACAGTAGGAGTAAGTACAAGCAATGATGACAACACCGAGAAAGGAGAGAGCGAGATGGTGCCGCACGACGAAAGCACAGGTATACAGGCGGCTTCCACCTCCCGTAAAACCTGAACGCAGAGAAGAGATACAAACATACAGAGAGAGAGAGGGTGAAAATCAAAGCGGCTAATTGAGAAACAACATTTGAACATACCAAATGCTCTTTCTCTCTCTGCCTTACCAACTCCCTCACTGGGAGTGATAATATTGAACAGAGCGCCTTGCCATGCCATTAGTGCAGGGAAACATCAAAGGAAATGAATAATAGAGAGTATGATTTTCTGAAGTGGTGGAGTGAAAGAGTCCCTTCCTCTTCCCGCTGTACTGAGCCCTGCAGTCCATTGATCTGCGGGCAGCCTGGACCTAAGCAGAGCCAGAGATTCAGACATTGCACTACTCTACACTTCACTACAGCACCTAACCAAGACTTCAGATGTCTATAACTCTTCTCGGTCTCCTCCGCTTTGACAAAGCCATAACACTCTTACAGAAAAGGAAAAGCACTGTGAGACTTGCTTCACCAAGAGCAAGAAGAAAAGAAAGGAATAATTTATATATTTGTAAAGGGGAAGCACAAGGACAGAGCATGTGGTATAATTACATACAGGCTGTATAATGGTAAAGCCAAGCTGCAGATCTTAAGCTACCCAAGACTCTCTTAGTAAAGAAGCATCCTGCCTCATTAAATCTTAGACATCAAGCTGTTCCTGCCTTTCTACACGATGCATTTTACTATCTGTCTGTTAGAGAAGCCTCTTTTGTTAGAATTTATCCTTTGCTTCTGCTACTTATCAAATATGAATGAGAGCCAAGATACAGGACTTGCAGCAAACTTGCAGAATCACAAAAGTTTGCAAGTTATGACGGCAGGTCTTCAAACCGTTTCTGATTAAGCCATTGGCTTCTCAGAAGTCAAATGGCTTTTGTGGGTCTGTCCGTCAAACTGCCAGATGGAGGAAAATCAGTAGAGCCATTTTTGTTGCCTTTCCATTCAATGTTCTTTTAGCCATGAGCTTGAACGACCGCTGTTTGATTACCTGTGTCGAAACATTTTTAAAGTCACAGGTGACAAGCTTGACGGCATCTTAAAAGTTTTCCACTCCAAGCGACTCGTTTTCTCATTGACCGTTCATCAATCCATGCACAAAATAAATCAGTCAGATGAAGTCAAATGAGGAAAGTGAGAAATTAATTTGTGCGCCCTCCTGATTTCTCCACAGGCAGACATCGATCATGCAGCGGCTGTCTACCCTCACTCTAGAGATGGAAACTGTGGAGGTTTGGGGAGAGAGGAGGTTCGTGTGTCTGAGGGGGTCGTTGTAATCAGGCACACTCATTAGCTTTGCCTTGGCACTGGATGACAGGAGGTCTCTGAGGCAAGTTAGTCTCTTATGTCCAGCCCACCATCTCTTGAGTTGAGGGTGAGAGTGGAAACACAGGAAGCTCCTTTTCACAAAAGAACTAACTAATACCTTTCAGTACAGGGGTACAAAAGGGAGGGGACAGTAATGGTAGTTTCTTTGTAACAATCAGAACACTGCAACAAAGACTCAAGATCTAATCAACTGTTACTGTCTCACAGAGACACATGGAGCCCCGAAAACACAACTTCTTCATTATTTTAAAATTATTGCCACAGTCAATTCAAGTTTCCTTATTATATATCATGTTGGACAGCACACAACAATAGCATTCAATAATGACTTTTATTTATTGATAATGAGTTAAAACTAAGGGTGAGTATTGGCATGGGTGTTGTGATGCGATACATGTCACGATACTTGGATCACAATAAAATATTATCACGATAATATGCAATATCAATATATACTGCAATATTTTTCTCAGCTATCAAAATATAATTGATAAAAGGAGATAAAAATGGAGATTTATCCATTAGATACAAAAGAAACAATTTCTGAAAATGTTCATCAGAAGATATTGATCATTCAGTTATTTTGGTGTCCACGTTGCTTGGGGTTTGAGTCAGTCCACGTCCTCTACTGTGACTGCCTCAACTACAGATACGGTGCTGCATCACACAGCAAAAGGGCTCCATAGCACTATCTACCAGTGTGGCGGTGCAGAGTTAGCCCATTTTCCATCATTGTTTTATGTAAAAAAATTTTGTGTTTTTTTTTTTTTTTTTAAATGATACTAAAAACTGAAAGATCGATATTATATCGGGCAGTGAAATCACAATATATGACCAAATCTACTTTTTTCCAACACCCATGGTTAAAACCAAGACTGGAAAAGAAGGTGAAACAGGAAAACTAATGATTTCAACCTTGCTGTTAGTTTTGTTCTTACAGGATTGCCAACTAAACTATACGATTATTGCCTGTCTCTACAACGAATCCCTCTCTTGTTTCCTGCCACAAGTAGAGTCTATGCTTTTACATATTTTTTAAGAATATGTAGTAAAAAATATTGAAGCCCATAAATTAAATACTTTTATGTCTTTTAAATTCAATGTGGTCTGAACAAAAGAAAAAGCATTACTGCAACTCCCTTTTATTGTTTTAATACGGTTTTAAATGGGGCAAAGAATTTACAAACTCGTTCATGCGCAAATACACATGGTTAAGAAATGGAGCTGTGCAATTTAACCATAAACCTAAATTGTGATTTCTTTTAAACAAAACTGCAATAAATTTTATTTTATTTTTTTTCTCTGCATTGACAACAAGCTGTTTGATTCCAGAATTTCCTTGTTTCCACGGCATTGAATGCTCTCTTTTTCAGAGTAAATTGTCCTGGGACTTTACTATTTGATGGAAATGTGCTTACTTCTAACTCAAATGCTTGATCTGTGCACCAGCTGAAACTATCTCTTCCCTTCTGTGTGGCAACAAACCCACTTTAAGCGTAATTCTTTAAAATGGCTGGGGTGAGAAAGTTAGTGTCTGGAAAAATGAAGGTGACCATAACTTTTTCAAATTGTGATTCTATTCCAAATGTAATTAATTATTCAGCCCTAATATGAAGTGTAGTAGTATCCACTGCAGGTTGAATCAATCTAAGTACTAGATGCAGACAACTACAAGTCCAGACTAATAAAAAATAGGAACTAGTTCAATTAAGGCCTAATAGGAAGCTAAAAATCACATATTCACATTAGCAATTCTTAGCTGTATTGTGGGTTTCTAGCAGTGTTGTAAAAAAGTACCCAAAAAGCTGGAAGATGTGTTCTAAAAAGCGTGAAGTCTTGTTTAAAGCTTCTGAAACAAAGTATTACCAGTCAGACTATCAGAGGACCCCTTATTTGTCCACTCTTTTAAAACAACAGGGAAACTAAAGGACTACTTCCAATCTTCCGCAGAAATGTTTTCGGCAATAATGTTCATGTCTGGAGACAATTTTAATAATATATCTCACTTTCCATGTTGACAGAAACTGGAACATTTTTCAAGACAGAGACAATGATGAAGAATATCAAAAGATTTTGTGGCATCAAATCTGTACACCGGCACTCCATAGACATAAACATTTTAGAAACCTCAAGCATAGCTGAGCCAAGCAAGTATTTATAGCGGTGCACACAGCTTTGCTGTTTCACATAGGAACACTGGGTAAATGCCGGACTAATGTGTCAGCCTAGGCGTACTTGTGGTCCCCAGCCTGCTGGGCAAAACCATCCATATCAGGTTTAAAATAACCACGCCTGAGACTTAACCTTTACCAGAGACAAATGAAATGAAAATATACTGTGTGGTGCATCAAGAGCAGGCTTCATTCATAGGGGGCTTTCTGCTAGCCTGACCTGAATTACCGCTCTGCTCCTGAAGGGCCACTGTGAATGGCACGCTTGAAGACAGGACACATTCATCTACGTAGCTCTATTTTACATCATACAGTGGGATGGGAAACAAAGAGTATGAAAAAAAGACAAGGAAGACCCATAGAAACACCAGGAAGGTAATGGACACACCTGCATGCATGCAGACCAGCTACAAATACAAGAAAAAGCATCAGTGCTTTCGGTTGCGCTCTTATGAAAAACACATGCAACTGTACAGTTTACACCATGAAAACCTTAAAAACAGGAACCTGATACTTTTTCAGCGCTCTTGTCCTAACAACGGTTTTACAGACAGACACCCACACAAACACACACACACATACATGATCCACTTTCCAGCCGAAAATGATGAAATATGAAATGGAGCATTACCGCTTGGAATGGCAGTCTGCCCAGGACTGTGCTGGTCCTCTGTCACATTGTCTTCTACTGCCAGAAACAAAAAGACAAAAAAAGGGGGTTGGGGGTGGGAGAGAAACAGTTAACAGTGAAGAAACAACTTTGACAAATTGAGATTTTTTATTCTTGTTTTTTTTTTTTTTTTAGATGGAAACTAAAAGAGCTTTCAGATGCTCTCAATGGCTCAACCTGATGTCTGGGAATTCACATAAGCCTTTCAAGTGGATGAGCTCTGGCAAAAAGCAAACAGCCACACACGTAAATAACATATTGGACTAGGTAATGACGTGATGAATTATAAACACCTCCCTTGGAACATCTCTCCAACATCAACAGTGACTAAGTTGGTGAAAAAAAAACCCACCTTGATGACTACATTAGTAAGATGACTGAGTAGCATGGAAGTTTAACAAATTAGATGGAGGAGCAGGTTCCAGTGCACATAAATATCAAATGCACATGGCAAACGTATCATAGAGAAATGTACTTCTTTTCCGTACTGATACAAATTTTCAGTTTTTTAAAAGTCTGACTTTGAATTTCCTTTAAAAGAGAAATATCTGCTGCAGGTTCAGTTATAGATGAAAGCTATAGATGAAAAAGGACAGGAACAGAATATCCTTGTATCCATTATCCATAACTTACTTTAAACGTATTTATTTTAAATTTCATTAAACCTTGTTTTCTTATACATTTATTTATTATGCTTCTGTTTGACCTGCTGATCATTGATCAATACTATTAATTGCCGATTAATATTTGCACCCTCTAGTATTATAAAATGCACAGCCTCGATTCCTTTCTGTGCCAAAACTGCCAAAGCAGCAGCAAAGAGCTTTTACTCTCTAACAGGGTGGGTGATAACACTGAGATCGTTTGATAGAGACTTCATTAGGTGAATGGAAACAAAGTCACTTTTGACTTTTTGACAATACCACTAGCCTTGAAAAACACAACTTGTGTTTAGTTAAAGGTGGAACCTTTTTTACATCGGAGGCTTGCTGGAGCTGGTGAGACTTCCTTGTGGCATGTCAAGCACAAGAAACGAAATGGATTTTAACAGCGGGAAGAGAACAAAAGCGTCTCCCACCTGTTCCATGTAAAATGAGGGTCTCACAGAGGACTTCATACACCTCTGTGTTCCACCCCTGCAGTTGAAATGCATTCTCCATTATGTCTTTCCTTTCTAGCCTTTCATTTTCTTGGGCCAAGAGGAAGGGAGTTGTGAGTTGGGAGGGGGGGGGGCTGACAGGACCTCCCTGTAGGGGAGTATGGCAGTGACTGCCAAAGCAGAGATTGGCGCACTTTTAAAATCGCACAAAATATCCTGTACTTTGCATAATTAAGATGGGGATCCTATGGAGGCAGAAGCCTTTCCCTCTGGGGAGCTAGAGTCTGTGTCAAGCAGGGTGACAAACATCAATGGAAAAATGAAGAGGAGAGAGCCGAACAGTTTTTATCAGCACATATAACAGGAAATGGCAGAATCTTTCTTTTTTTTTTTGCCTACCTGTGTTTACTTCAAGGAAATAATCATTTAGGAAAAAAAATCCCTCAGACATTCATGGAAAATATGCAAAACAACTGGTCAAAAGTCAGACAATTAATTAGTTCAATCAATTAAAATTGGTGGAACAGACCTAGTTGGACAAAACCGCACATCCCCTCAGAACCGCTGTTTCAGCCTTCGGAGAAAACTTGTCCTGTTAAAGGAGACCTCTGTGACTGACGCCCTGAGAGTTTAATGAGTTTCTGTAGCACCGTTGAGCGCCTTGCATCTTGGATCATTTAAATGGGCTACAGATAGGGGGTCCTAATAAATCCCCCGCCGTTCTATCAGAGAATAGTGGCGGGAGCTAGAGTTTTTGTTTTGATTACCGTCACTGTTGGCGAGATGAGGGAGCTCAGGCAGAAAATTCTATCTTACAATGCCATAAGAACTTAAACATTACGGCAGTTTGCGATGATTTGTCACCACTGCGAACTTATTAAAAGTTTTGCCATTTAAAGTAAACAACTTTCATCGCCATGCAAACGCTTTTCTCATTTGTACCTGGCTGCTTGATAATTAATAGCCAGCTTGGAGCGATCGCGAAGGGTAAGCTGTCAAGTAAAGGGATGTTTTCAACAAGCTGGACTATGATTAACAGGAAGAACAGAGCAAATATGACTAGCAGAGGCTTTTTAATTAATATGGTCTTAAGCCTATGATTGGCTTGTAATTACTTGAGTAAAACTTAGTTCACATTGTTGTAGACGCATCACTGCTATCAGTTAATTACTGTTTGACAAGGTACAGTGTATCACTCAGTCGGTGACAGGCTGCCGTCGTGCTAAACATGGTTTATACAGCTGTGAAGACACGTGGGACTATTTTGGTGCAGAACCTCTCATTTTTTTATATGTTCAGCAAAAATAAATTAGATTCTGCAGAATTTAGCCTCTTTAGCAAACATCCTGGCTATGCACACCTCTAACTCTAAGTAAGTATCATCAGAATATTTAATACTTTTTAATGTTATAAAAAGGAAAATGTCCAAAAAAAAGGTAAATTAAGGCAAAACAGACTAGAAAAGCTGCAAAAATACTCTTTCAAAATGCTAAAATTAGCACAAAAAAAGCAAATCGTAAAGTTGAAGACAACTCTTTCACGTATGTGTATAAAATGTGTCAATGCTTAATGTTTTTTAGCTTTCTTTTCCACATGTCCACATGCTTGTGTCTGTCAGCCTTAGACTGTGTGTGTTTGTGAGGGGCGTACTTTGGGGGAACGTGGAGGGTGCGAGCAACTTACAGGCATTCAAACAGCCCCAAAGTGTGTTCCTGGATATGCGTGACTCATCTGCTTGGTTACTGCGAGCATGAACGATACAGTGCCGAACACAATGCCTGTGTAATCCGCCCTGACTGACCAGCAAGGAGACGCTCACCACGGGGAGTACAACTCAATTTAGCTCGGGTCAAGAGGTCAACCCTCCTCAATTAGGGCCGGGGAGAAGGGAGGGAGGAGGACACGCACTGCACATGAATAACTTTCTTAATGAGCATTATTTGAACGGGTGATTAGTGTCATAAATAATTTGCAGTTAAGGAGCATGTTGTTTGTGTTGCATAATATTTGTAATCTTCCATTTATTGCTGCCATTGTTTAAAATAAATTGTCTCAAAAGATACTCCAATTGTGTCAATTTAAAAGCAAAGACAAATGTCATGAATCAACAACCTCATTATGCACGTTTTGCAAATTCAGCTTCCGGAAAATATTAACGCTATTCATCCTTAGTCTATAATTTCATCCGCAGCAGTGCTACAAATCAGTCACTGTCTCTGACTAAGAAGTGTGTCTCCATGTGGCAGACAAGCCATGACAACAAGAGCGACACATGCCATGGAAAAAGGACAGATATCGGCCAGCTCCCGCGACACCCCGATCCAACACACTCAGCCGCACGTCAAGAGCACTGACAGGCATGCTAATGGGATTTTTTCCATGGCTTCGTCATAATTTCCTTAATGATAATTCTAAACTATTTTTTTGTGTCACATTAGAAAAGCGTTAATGGGTGTTATGCCACAGATCATTAATTGTGAGCGGACTGGAATTTGAGGCAGCTGAGAATGACGCTGCTAATAAGTATTTAAGGAAAGACAAGACATTATACAAAATACTGTTTATTTCTGCATCTCAGTCACAACAATCACTGTTAAAAATCAGCACTAAAGATATTACTTGCGAATGCGTGCACAGAATAAAGAGTTAAATGAATTTGGATGGTATTTATGATTAAAATAATTAACATTAAGGATATTTCCCCCCATGATGCAAACAATTATAACTGTAAAGAGGAGGGGTTCAAATCTTACAACTATTTAAATTCATTTTTTTACATAAAAAAATACTTCATTTTCTAAGAAATCTAGAATTTGCAGGGGTTCTTTTTACTTTTTCTTTAAAGCGTTCATTTAAAAATTGAAGTTTTAAACAAGATGTGTTTTAGTAAACTGATCTGTTTCAGCATACTTTTTTAAAATTCTGTTATATTTAGGTCTAAATAAAGGTCTTAATAAAAAAAATCTTGTATCTTTAACTGTGACAACAAAGCAATTCTCCAGAGTTCACACATGTGGCAGCAAATTTTTGCTTCTAAAAAAAAAACTAAGTATTTATGGAGTGCATGATACAGGCCTGATTTCAGGACAATCGCTACACTCAAAGTAAATGGTGCAGGAAATGCATTTATACATGCAAACAACAGATCTAGCAATGCCTATCCTTTAGCAAATGAACTTGCAATTGCTGGGGTTTCATTTGTGCTTGGGAAAAAAATATAAACTTGGGCTGACATTATTCAGGAAGAACAGTCACACAGGCAACGTGGCAGTAGTCGTGCAGGATTCAGGAGGAAGATCCTCCTTGCCTTGCTGCTCACTGTGTGCTGACCCAAAGCCACTGCACATGAAAACAAAATTACAATATGCCTACAGTTGAGAAACGCAGAAGACTCGGGATTGAGTAAATGTCAGTAGCCGGGGTGAAGTGTTTGCATATAAGCGAATGATGTATGGTCTCGTCCTGTGCCATTTATTCCCCAAAGCAATAACGTAGCTGGATCTGTCTCTCAGACTTAATTGAAACGGGACTTGTAATGTTGCCCTTTTTCTCGATGGGACCAAAAAACATAACCTCTGACTCCCAAAAGCCACCAAGACCGAGAAACTGGGTGTTCATGAGGAAGGGCTGGGGGTGGAGGGGGGAGCTACACAAGGGGGGGCAGCAAAAAAAGGAAGAGTGTCAACTGTCACTGCATTATTTCCCCATCTCCTCTCCATGCATGCCGTGTCTATTGTATCCATACACATGATGTCTGCATCTTTCATTTGCACCTGTTTATTCTGTAGGCCTACTCTGAAGGACAAGATGTTCTTTATGGGCACTGACCGCTGCCCTAAAAACAACATTCTCAAAACTCTCAAACCATGAAGCTATTCAGACAGAGGCTCACACATGTCTGTGTGAGACAGAAATATACGAAGAAACCAAAATAAAAATATAAAATTAGACTTTCTAAAACGTAAGATAAAAACACTAATTCCAGCCTCTCTGCAAACAGTAAGAGAGAATTCAACTATTCAGGGAAATGACAAGTTAAGTTATTCTGTACATCTGTATGAGTGCATCGCAGTCCCTAAGGAAAGACATAGACAAAGAACAATAAATAACATCTGCCTGGCCTGCCTTGGGTCTGATTCAAAACACAGGGAAATATCTCTGACATATTTCTCCACTTCTGCCTCGGCCAAAGCGGTGGAAATAAAGATGCAGAGGTAACGGCCATTTTTTTTTCTTCCCTCTCCGATTTCAATTTTCTGTGACAACGACTAACACAAACAATGTCATCACTCTGACTTCATTTGCATGCTGATTTGCTCACTACACATCCCTTCTCTGCCGTACACACTGATGTGCACAAACCCAAACAGATGTTCTTCGGCATACTTTCAAACACACTTGTAGATTGCTAGGTTGCAAATAAATATGTTTAACTGATATGTCTTTTGAGATTAACCACTGTCACGGTACTTAATGAAAAAAAAGAAAGAAAAAATAACTCCCAACCCCATAATGTCAGAGAAAATAAGAAATGTTTGCATGGAGTTGTTTACTGCGAACGGAGACGATTTTGGAAAAGATGTGCTGCACTAACATTTCCACTTCTCTCCTGGGTATTGATTTAAAATGGTGGCTGCATGAATTTACTACCGCAAGACCATGTAATCTTCTTTTGAGATGAAGACTTCTGAGAAAGGAAAAAAAAAGGAGGTAAGAATGAAAGCGAGAAGGGGAGAAAGGGTCTACAGACCACAAGCTGAGAAAGGGAAATTGTGGACAATTATTTGCTGAGCAAAATACAATGTCTGCCAGATGAACTGGAGATCAAACTCCAAAACTCTGTAGCCCCCCCACCACCCCACCCCTTTGCCCACACAAACACACTGCATATGCAGCTAGGGAAAGTCATGTGTGAAGACTGTGGGTTTCTGTCTCTATTTCACTGCCCCCCCTTCCTCCCTCAATGACAAATGGGGGATCAAATTGCAAGCCATTGCAACTGTGTAAAAGCCAATAAGTCAGAGAGATGACAGAGAAATAGTGTAGAGAGGAGATTTCCCCACTTTTTTTCACATGTGCATAATCAAACTTATAAATAATGCAAATGGTTAGATTTGAGGGATCTTTCTTTACAATATCTCTATATAGATATGTCTGCGCTGTAAATCATAAGGAGCCTTTTCTTTTCCCTTTCACATATAAAAATGTTTTACACCTTAGTTTCTCAGACAGAGTTGAATCACGTGACTCAGCCCCCCCATTCCATCAGTCGGCTCAAGATCCGACCTGGAGCGCCTTTAACGCATCCAGATGTGCGCATCCAGCGTCGCGCTCCGCTGTTGCTCTCTCTCTCTTTCTCTCTTCCTGTCTTACATTCTCCATTGCCCTTCCCTTGCACTTTTACTGTCACCACAACGCAACCATAACTGAAGCAGATCATCCTTTTGCTTATTTGATTTGAAAACAATTTGTTGTTATACTCCTCTCAAACGTAAAGTCCGTCTACTGCCGCTCTTTAAAAAAAAAAAAAAAAGATGCGTAAAATGCGTAAAATAACACACATTTGCATCCCCCTTAATTGGCAGCAAAAAAAAAAAAAAAAAAAAAAGATGCGTAAAATGCGTAAAATAACACACATTTGCATCCCCCTTAATTGGCAGCAAATGTTTGGAGAGAGCCAACAAAAATAAATAAATACTCAGGCTTATCACTTACCTTTCAGTGATCTTGGTTTCGCTTGCTTGCGGCGCGACATCCTACAGAAAAGAAAACCCCCAGCTGAAGTTGCTCAGTTTCTGCCTTGTAAATTTCAGTGCAGGACGGGATAGTCTATGGGTATGATTTCTCTAAATTGCCCTGGCCGAAAAATCGCGCCATTACAGAAAGATGCAACTTCCAGCCGTGCGTGGCCGCGCGCTGTGGACGCGAGTTTGCCTGTTATATTTTTTTTGTGATGAGTAGGTGGATGTTATAAAATCCAATTAGCCCCGATCGGTGTGTTTACAGTTGAGCTGGAAAAGTGTGAGAATGTGCCGATCCCGTCATGCCGCGTCCTTTCTCCGGGAAAACAGACGCGCGTGTGGGCATGATGATCGCTCAGATAAGAGATGAAAAGCGGAATATAGCTACAAGCTTTTCGTTTCTCATCTCAAATGCATCCGCGTTATAAAGGCATCTGCAAAATACCTCCTACGAGAGAGCACAAAAAAAAGGAATAAAACTCCCCCAAAAAAATAAAAATAAAAAAGGAAAAATTATAATCACTTTTTTTACTTCAAATCCACCTAACAGTATTAGAACTACAGCAGACTCTTCCCGTTTCTCTCTCCGGTCAGCTAATCATGAATTAGGTTCGGGAATGT